CCTTTCGTTTCCAGGCTTCAGTTATTAATTTCTCCTTCATTTGTTCTTTTTTTTTTAAATAGAGAAATGCATGCAAATAATACTTTTTTAGAAGAAAACTAAAGAAATAATGAAAAGAAATTAGTGATTAAAGCATACCGATATAAGAACAGGATGTTACACTGCAGGAATGATCACTAACCTACATACATCACAAAATAATTAAAATAGGAAACACCGAGATCAAGAGATGAGGCACGTCTGTGTACCATCAAGGGGAGAAGTGCACAATGTATTGCCAAAAAAACAAGCTTTCTCTGTGGTGGCACCACAACTACAAAATGCTCCTCTGAGATAATAAGATTGGTATTGACTGTTTTCTTCCCAGCAACAGAAATGCTGAGGGAATTTTGAAATGTTAAAATGTAATCTAAATTGATTTTAGATGTGTTTTTTAGAAGTATTATGCCTCTGATGGATTTTATAATTGTGTCACAGGTTTTAGACTAAAGCTCTGTTTTTTTCCAGTAGTGGTGTATGGAAGTGAGAGCTGGACCATAAAGAAGGCTGATGGCGGAAGAATTGATGCCTTTGAATTGTGGTGCTGGAGGAGGCTTTTGAGAGTCCCCTGGACTGCAAGGAGAATAAACCTATCCATTCGGAAGGAAATCAACCCTGAGTGCTCACTGGAAGGACAGATCCTGAAGATGAGGCTCCAATACTTTGGCCATCTCATGAGAAGAGAAGACTCCCTGGAAAAGACCATGATGTTGGGAAAGAGTAAAGGCAAGAGGAGAAGGGGATGACAGAGAATGAGATGGTTGGACAGTGTCACCAAAGCTACCAACATGAATTTGACCCAACTCTGGGAGGCAGTGGAAGACAGGAGAGCCAGGCATGCTCTGGTTCATGGGGTCACGAAAAGTCAGACACGACTTAACGGCTAAACAACAACAATGTGCATCAACTTGCAAGTTTTGATAATGTTTGCACAATATAATTTTTTTAAAGGAAACATAAATCAAACATAATTAAAGGAAAATAAGAAGGAGGTACAGTAATTATTTTTAAAAAGTCACCTACCAATGAGACCTTAAGAAAGAAAGAGCATAGAAAACTGCTGGGAATGATGACGTTTTTCATAAAGAATACGTGAACAAAGGACGACCATTCAAAAAAACAAAACAAAACCCAAACAGTTCCATTTATAGTGGGCTGAGGGACCTCTGGCAGGCTAGATTCCCACCACTGGGTAACTGAGGTGTCTTAGGCTACAAGCTTCACTATCCTTACCATCAGCTCCTGCAAGTCCAAAACATCTGAAGGATCAAGTGTTTTCCTCCCACAAACAAATATATTCATATCTCCTTCTGTAGATTTTGTTTCTCTGTACAAACTGTCCTATGGGTTCAAGTAAAAGCTCAGCCCTTTCCACGTATGGAAAGAAGACCATTTCTACAAACCTGGGAAATGTTTTGAAGAATTCAAAATGTGTTGAGATGAATGTGCCTGAAAAGGGGCCAGCGTTTAGCTGTGATCCTATGCATATTTACCTGGAAGCAAGTGCCACTGAATTCAGTAAGATTGACTTCTTTGCAGGCATCCAAAAGATTGCCTTATTTGTCACCAGCTGTTTGCTCAATAAAGTATATTGTCTTACTTGCTCTGAGTGCTTCATATTCTTGGAGCAACAGAGCAGTAACACTCTATACAAAACTAGATATTATTCTTGGCAGAACAGTGATGTGTTAATAGCTGAAAAATCAAATACTTGGCTAGTACAAGAGAAGAATTTTTTAATAGCACAAACAGTGAAACAAGAGGATAAATGTCACTTTGAGTCATCACGACCGTCTCCTTTCTACTCTAGCAACCTCAACAATTCATGTACAGTATCTCTCTTACAAAATGTATGTATGTATTGGAATATGTTTGAGAAAACTTAAATTGCTGTTAAAAGGCATCCTGGGTCTTAAAGGACAGTTTCATGAGAACTTTTATGAGAGAACAAGAAAACTCTTATCTCATGAAAGCCGTGTCTTTATGAAGATCACATGGCTTGATATTAAACATTCACAAAAACAAATTATACTGCTTTCAATGAGATCTGCTCAACTGCATGTTCAAGAAAGCCCATCTCTTCAAAATCAGAAGAAGCCTGCAAAACTCTCACACAAGCAACAATATTCAGGGCTACCCTGTATCATAGTTGTTAATGGCTCTCTGTAACAATATTTTCAAGACTTCTGGAATTTTTCTCTAAGATCACAACTCCCGATGTTGAACTGCTCGTTTTTATTTTACAGCTGTTGGGACAGATTCCATAGATTTCGATACCAAGGATTTTTGCTTGGCTTTTCTTCCCAAAAGTCTCAGGAGATTTTAATACAGCTTATTTGGTAGGCCTCAGGACACCATTCACAGAGTCTCCGCAGACTTCCTTACGAAAAACCACTAAATTGGTTTATACAGATATATCTGTGTGTTTTAAAGGTAGTAGGCACCAAGTCCCATTTTCATTTCTCATTTGGAGACACTTTTCAAAGTCCAAAGTGCTCTACAACTTTACTCTTACTCTGCCTAATCCAAGGTCACTAAAAGTATGCTGCTTATATATTGCCCAATTGCACTTAAAGCACTCTATGGGCAGTTTACAATGTAATTATGCAGGATACACATTGCTTCCCTGCCCCCAGAAAGCTGGGTACACAATTTACCAACCTCTGAAGCAGGGAAGGCTTTGTCATCCTTGAGCTGGCTGCCTCCATCAGCCTGAATCAGACTCAAGTTGTGAGCAGTCCTGATTGCACTACTGCAGTTCAACCACTACATCATGAGACTCGTTTTGCAACTAATGAGTGAGCAAGAATTTCAACCTTGCTCTTTCTCCTTCTTCCCATCATAAAACCTCAAATAAACTTGATGGCTACTCTCCAACAAAGGCAGAAAATGCAGAGGTCTAGTCATCAACCTACCAGTCAGTCTTCCACACAGTGCTAAAAGCAATCTGTCTGGAAACACCCTATCAATCTAAGAGAATTGTGCATCTATTCCACCTTTCTCTCTTCAACAATTTTAACTGTGATTTTTTTTCTCTAAGAGATGAAAGCATGCACAGAGACACAAGAGAGATATAGATGGGAAATGATGTCATCAGGACACCCTATCAAAGAATCAGGATGCAGATATAATGAAAACGTCAGCTAGTTTTCACTACTACCAATATATCCCGTTCCCAAATCCAGTTACACTAATTAATCTTCATTTTCCACAGCACAAGAGTCTATAGACAGAGACCCAAAGAGGTAACAAACACAAAAACGAAACTTGGCCATTAGTGTACATAACAGTTGTCCATTCACTGGGCAATAGCCTCCTACAGGCTGCTTTAGGGTTATATACAACAGGTTCTTTCATATTTATATACAGTGCTTTTTTCAACAGAGATTTCAAAGTCAAAGGGGATTATGAGGATTAACAAGGCTTCACCCATCATGCAAATATGTAGGCAACACTCCAGCTGAGGGGGAATGTAGCTCTGGTGAGGGGGTGGAGAAAACAAAGCACAAAAGGGGGGGGCTGCCTCCAACATCTTAATTTAAGCGATGTCAGGAAGCAACCTAAGGAGGACCTATGCACTTCAGACCTTGGAGCTCTACTGCAGAAATAAATCCTTTTGCCCAAGAAAGAAATGAGAGAGAGAGAGACTCTCATGTCCTTCCTGCTTATTTACGTTTGGGGGGAAAAAGACTTCACCATAAGACAAGCTGAGGCTTCAGACATTCATCCAGTTCCTGCTCACAGAGTAACAGGCCATCTCTTTTCCCAAGGGAAGCTGCCAAAGCATGGAAACCCCCATTAAATGGGGGGGGGCAACCGCCTCCCTGCATTGCAGAGAAAAAGCTTCACGAAGAGCAGAAGCTTACAATCTGGGATCGTTTTACATGCTCCTCATGCCACTGAACTGAGGCATGCAATACCCTATTATCCATGGCAAATCAAAAGAATCAACGCCCTTTTATTCACAGGAAACGAGGCCGGGCAAGCCCTCCCCGGGGTCAGATAAAGCTAGAGGCAGCCTTCAATGAAAGAGGTAACCGATAGCTGGCCCAGCGTTCAAGTTTAAAGAGGCACTAAACCCAAACAGGCAGGACTGAAAACGGTTTTGCTTCCTCTTCAGACTACGTGAGGCGTGAGCGTGAGGGGGGGGGCGGCGGCGGTGAGAGACTGAAACATAAAAGAAAGTTTGCGGCTTACATTGCCTCTCCGCGCAACAACGCGCCACATTTCTGCAAGGGGGGGGGAAGGGAGGAGACAGAGAGCGAGAGAGGTGAATCACCCACTGACTGACACTGTGAAGTTTCACCAGCCCTTCTCCCCTTCTCTCCCCCATCCCTGAAAGCACACCAAGTTCTCCTTCCCTCTCTCTCTCTTTTCCCCCACCACTCCTTGTTGTTGTTGCAGCTAAAATAAGCCGCCCGCCTGCTCCCCAGGACGCGCCTCGAAGTCATACATATTTTAAAGAAACCTATTTTTGCCCCTTCGCAGATTGCAGCTCTCTCGCTCCCTCGCTCCCTCCCTCCCTCGGCCTCTCTAACACATACACATCCTAACAAAGGGATTTTGGAGTGGGGGGGGGAGAGAAGGGATGAAGTCGGGATCGCCTAAAATTCCTAACCCCCTCCCAGCCTCACCGCGAGCCTTAATCAGAGTCAGCCAAACAAGCCCCGGGTCTGTGGCTTTGAAACCGTACTCCAGCCCACCCACTGCCGAAGAAGCTAAACAGTGACCGCCCCTCCCATCACGGGGGCTCTCAAAGCGATTATATATCGCTGCTCCCCAACTTGTGCTCCCGGGCG